ATTCTGAGGCTCCGTCTAACATACTTTGGACATGTTGTGAGGAGAGACCGGTCCTTGGAGAGGGACATCATGCTTGGGAGGGTGGAGGGACGGTGCAGGAGAGGAAGGCCCTCTATGAGGTGGATTGATTCGGTGACTGGGATAAATGGAATAGAAGTGTCAGAGACACTGCAATTGGCACAGGACAGAGTGGAGGTTAGGTCTGTTGTACATAGGGTCGCGATGAGTCGCAAACAACTCAACAGCACATAACAACAACAACAACTAACCTCTGGTTGGCAGTCCACATAAGACGGTCTACTTCTAAGGATTGACAGCCTTGGAGACCCTGCCAGACAGATCCACTTTGTTCTATAGGGTCTCAGTGAATTTGAATTGACTCAACAGTGGGTATTTTGTTTGTTTTTTAGAGGAACAAGGAGTCTCACCCCAAAGTATTTTCTTTTACTCTCAGACCACACTGGTTTTCATAGTAAACACTCACCACCTGTATAGGAAATTTGGAAATGATCTTCTTAGTGCTTATACTCTTTATCCTCCATGACTACTGCTATGAAAAATATGAATGCAGGTTATTTATTAAGCACAAAAATAAAGCTAAAAACTCCCAAGAGTGAGGATAAGAATAAATATGGTCTGATAATATTTACTGGCCAATATTTTTTCCTTGCTTTCTATACTCAAGAAAAGTCTATAAACATAAATATTAAAGGAGTCAGGTTTTAAATTTTCTCTCCATATATAAATATAGTCATCATATATATATGATTAATAAATCAATAACCTGTCTTAGTATTAACAAGCATTTTATCATGTAAGCGATAAATATCTATTTCTTATGGTTGTTTTTCACACAATGTGGCCTAACTTGTTAGAGCATGATTCATTTTTAGTAGAATTTGTGCTGATTTGCAGAAAATAAATTACTAGGATTCTGCTTTTTAAAGATCAGGTGAAAGGAGGTAAGACAAATGGTTTGTGACCCATCTACTAACTGGGGATTCTCAACTAAAAATTAGGAGTGGCATTCCTCAATGAATTACTTAAAGACAGCTTAACTGTTCACTACGTAATATAATACACCTAATCATTTCATTTACCTCCTTTTTTATTAACATGTAAAAATTTTAATTGTAGCTAGAAATCATTACTGAAAAGCAAACTAATATCCTCCTCAATAGATTGTTATTCATTTACTCTTAAAATGACATAAAATTAATCTAAACCTTATGAAATTCAATAATTAAAAGTGAGGAACCACTGTTTAGCAAGTATCAAAGTACCTTCAGTGGGTGAGTTTGTGTCTGTGGGTTTTACATCCATGAGGAGCCCCTAGTCATATCTTAAATCAAGGTACCACATAAGTAATATTTTCATATATTTCTCATTCATTGGTTCCCTCAAACCCAGGCAGGGAAGCGTAGTCCACAGAACGGAGAGCTGCTAACCCAAACACCTATGTATCTGATGGCTTGAATCCATCAGCAACTCCACTGGGTCAAGAGGGGTAATCTCCTCTGGTGCAATCACAGGCTTGGAAACCCTCTCAAAGGTCAATTATTCATTAGTTCTGACTTTACAGCAATTGAATAAACCAAACAGCCCAAGCCTATTGTGTTTAAGTCCATTTTGACTCATAGAAGCCCTCCGAGGACAGAGTAAGACAGCCATCGGGAGAGCTGAGCTTTCAGTTAACAGTATGGTGTTTTTGTCACACAGCCATTGTGGCTCTGTAGAGATGGTATTTTTTTTTTCAAAGAAAGAAGATTAAACTATTAAACTGAGAAGTTAAAAAAAAATAAAAAGCACATTGAGACTGATAGATGTTTTTCTCAATTTCACTTTGAAGTTTGAGTTTGCATTTCTGTAGTAGAAACCCAGTGAAAGCCCATCATTGTTTAAACGGAAAAGTGTGTTTAAAAAAGCAGCAAGTAGTTAGTATTTCTTTAAATGTTGTATTCCATCGAGTCAGAATTGCTTTCTAGCTGACCCTTCAGAGGGTTTCCAGGGGCAATAAGTTGCAGGAGAGGAAAGTGTCCATCTTTCATCTGCCATATATGTTTAGCTGATTCAAATCTTCAAATGTAGTTCAGTGCAACAATCTAACCCAAACGTAGGTTCCTAGCGCAGACGCAAACAGCATATTGCCAGGTGGCTCACGTGTAACAAAAACATACTTAAGAAAGGTAACAGACAATAAAAAGTTGATACTTATCCCTTTGTAAGCGATAAAATTTATGCGTGGAATAATTAAAATCCAGGTGAATGCGCAACAATGAAAGGGCACGTTTTGTGTAGTCGATTCCCTCACTGATGGAAAGGCTTCTTTTTACTATTTAAACAGCAAAGTCAGTTAATTCCTACAAATTATTTACATATTCTGGAAACCACTGTGGTCAACAAGCATTACGCTTAAGCATTAGTGAAATATCACTAGGTTTTGAAAGAGAAAGAGAGAGAGAGCCCTTCAGGGCTCTTTGAAAGGAGACTTTCAGGAACCCACAACACCTGCTTTTCCCGAGAGGTCTCCCATCCAAGTACTAACCAGGCTCAACCCTGCTTAGCTTGTGAGATCAGATGTGATCAGGCACGTTCAGGATGGTTATAGCCTTCGATTGGATTTTGAAAAAGTCCTTTAAAAATGAGTAGTACACATGTCCAGCCATTTCATTTTGTTTTGGGTTTTTATGTCACATTATTTTTTGGATATATAAAACTCACTGATAGGAGTTTGCTTCAATTCATCGTGACCTTCTGTTAGGTTTAAAAGAAAAACAAAAACAAAACCAAATAACTGAATGTTCTAAATTTGTTTCCACTACTGATTGAAAAAGAACAAAAAAAAAAAAAATACTGTTATTGACCTAATTCTGACTCGAAGTGTTCCTATCACGACAGAGGAGAATTGCTCCCTGTGGTTCTGAACCAGGCTTTGGGGACCAAGTCTGCATGTCTTCACCGAAGCAGACTACCTCTTCCTATTATGTGGCTACTGGTGGGCTTGAACCCGCAGCCTTCTGATTAGCCTCCTGGTGTTAATTCTACTATTCCACCAGACTTCCCTACAGGCTAAGACCTAGATACAAACTCGGAGATAATAATCTAACCAAATTTAAATAAAAATGGTCTTGTTCATACAGGCTTTAGGTAAATGAATGTGTAATACCTTCTGGGGACATCTCAGGTACAGTGGCCTCATAGGGTTCATCCAGGAATTTTGGTTCATTGTCATTGATATCCGAAACTCTGATGACAAATTCAGACTCTGGCTCCACAGCCCTTCCGGTGGCGGCATCTGTTACCTGCGCTCTCAGCGTGTAGAGCGCCCGCTCCTCCCTGTCCAGCTTCCGGACCGCGTAGATGTCACCTGTCCTTTGATCAATGTCAAAAAAGGTCTCAGCGGCATCTCCCAAAAGCTTATAATGGAAAGAGTTGTTCCCGTTGTCTAAATCAGATCTTAGCTGCAATCAAAAAGAAAAGTCATTTAGTTCCAAGAAATGCTGAGATTAAAAGAGTCAATGTGAATTCTTTTAACCTGAGGTTCTTTACTATTCCACAAGTTAATGATGTTTGGTCATTTCTTTATTTTGTTAAATAAGAAAAATAGTTATGCTCAGGTTAAAACATATCTAAAGGTAGATGAAAACATCACTAAATTCTTAATTCCAAGAACAATACAAACTTTATGACCCTAACTAGAAAATTCTCATGAGAATGTATAAATTAAAAATAAAACCATTTTTTTTTTTGGCCAAAAGTTGGGAAACATGAGGAAGTTAGTTTGCATTTGCACTATAATTATATTCTTGCTTATACTGTAATCATATCCTCAAGTATTTATCTTTGATAGGAACTACTGTTGTTGTTTCTAGGTGCTCTCAAATCAAACATAACTCATAGCCACCCTACATACAACTGAGCTGAAGACAGCCTTATCCTGCGTCAGCTTCACAATCCTCGCAAAATTGTTACATACTCAAGTTCATTGCCACTCTTACTGTGTCAACCCACCTGGTTGAAGATCTTTCTCTTTTTTGCCATCCCTCCACCTTCCCAAGCATGATGCCCCTGTCCAAAGAAAAACGTCTCCTAGCAACAAGCCCAAAGTATGTGAGATGAAGCTTCATCATCGTTGTCTCCAAAGAGCACTCTGGCTGTAGCTCCCTTAAGACATCTGTATATTTTGCAGCCCATGGGATCATCAACATTCTTCTCCAACACCACAGTTCAAAGGCATCAATTCTTTTTCTCTCTTTAGTTACTGACTAGCTTTCAGATGTATAGCAAGTGATTGAAAATAAACTGACATCATTCATTCTCAGTAATTTGGAGAGGTCCCTGACTACAGACTTTCCTAGCACAATACAGCTCGCCATCTCCTGACTGCTGGTACCAAGTGGACTGATTGTTGATTCAAGTATAATAAAGTCATTGACAGTCTCAAGTCTTTCTCAATGCATCACAATGTTGTCTATCTCTCCAGTAACAAGGATTTTTGTTTTCTTGGCTTTGAGATGAAATTCATATTGAAGGTGGCAGTACTCAACCTTTTGCAGCAAATGCTTCAAGTCCTTTTCAGTTTCAGTAAGCAAGGTTGTATCATCTGGGTAACACAGGTTATTGATGAGCTTTCCTCTGATCCTTATGCCACATATTCTTCACAGAGTCCGGCTTCTGACATTTTTTGATAAGTGTATAGATTAAGTAAGTTTGGAGAAAGGATATGACTCTGACGCACATCTTTCCTGATTTTTTAAAATTTTATTAGTATTAATGAACATTTACAGGGATTTTGGGTTTTCATTCCTTCATTGCTGTACCATTCTCTCTACCCT